TATCTAATTTTCTCTGTTTTGATGTTTAGTATTTTGGCTTGGTTCCAGTATACTGGTAATTGGATGTATGGCTAAATGATTTATTTTGTCCGTGGAATCACATGTAATTGCGAATATTAGGTGATGGAAGTAGCTTCCTGGACCATGGCTTGACTGAAGCCGATCCTGAGGTTCGTGCAATTATTGACAAGGAGAAGGACCGGCAATTTAAAAGTCTTGAGCTTATTGCTTCTGAGAATTTTACATCTAGAGCTGTGATGGAAGCAGTTGGTTCATGCCTCACAAACAAGTATTCAGAAGGATTGCCGGGTAAAAGGTAAGGATCTCTTTGATTTAAGAAAATATTGTTTTTATGTTTGTTTTGGTAACGAGACTTTGTTCATAGAAAATGGGAAATTGTGTTTGATTTATTCATTTTCAATAATTAAAATTTCATTAAAGCTCATTTTAAATGGAAGGTACTATGGTGGGAATGAGTACATTGATGAGCTCGAAACCCTATGCCAACAAAGGGCACTGGCCGCATTTCATGTAGATGGAACCAAATGGGGTGTTAATGTTCAACCATTATCTGGATCCCCAGCTAATTTTGCAGTATACACTGCAGTTCTTAAACCACATGATCGAATTATGGTAAAATCTATTTGACGTATCCTTGATCTTGTTTGGCTATTCCAAATCGCAGCCCATTATTGTAATAGTTATGATGTGCAATGGTTTGTTTCCAGGGTTTGGACTTGCCTCATGGAGGACATTTGTCCCATGGATTCATGACGCCTAAAAAACGTGTATCTGCTACTTCAATTTATTTTGAATCTATGCCTTATCGACTTGACGAATCAACAGGTGGTTTTGTTTTCTCATTAAAGTTATTTCAAATTTGTTAGATGACTCATTTTTTACCCCATGTTGGCATCATAATAGGTCTAATTGATTATGATATGCTGGAGAAAACTGCTAATCTCTTCAGGCCAAAGCTGATTATTGCGGGGTTTAGTGCTTATCCTCGGGACATTGATTACCCTCGCATGAGAAAAGTATGTTTTGTATATATGGAATAATCTGGAATTATATATTGCTCATTATATGATTTTCTTTTTGGCAAGAAGCTAATCACATCTTTTATGCATGGAAAGATTGCAGATGAAGTAGGTGCTTTTCTTATGATGGATATGGCTCATATAAGTGGGCTTGTTGCTGCATCTGTACTTGCTAGTCCCTTTGACTATTGTGATATTGTGACCACCACAACCCACAAGGTTTGCCTTGAGATATTTTTATGCCACAATTTTGCATTTAAAATAAAAAAGAGAAGAATCTGCATTTAGTTTGTGTACAAACTGGATGCTATGTTGCTTGAAACTCTAAGTAACTACTTTTCTTTGCTACACTTGGCACACCTGTGACTTAGTCTGTTGGATATTTTCTTCTAGTCTTTAAGAGGTCCAAGAGGTGGTATGATATTCTTCAAGAAAGATCCTGTGCATGGGGTTGATCTGGAGCCCGCCATTAACAATTCTGTTTTTCCCGGTCTACAGGTAAATTATGAATATTCTCTTAATAGTTTTATCCTAACTATTCTAATTCAGGTGCATTAGATCCTGTGCTCCTATGGAGTTAAGATGCACGCGTACTCTTTACCTTCCTCCTTCTGTGATTTGATAGTGATAGATTTGTCCAGGGGGGTCCTCATAACCACACAATTGGAGGACTAGCAGTTTGCTTGAAGTATGCCCAGTCTCCAGAGTTTAAAAATTACCAGAATAAGGTATTACCGATTGCCCATTTCATCATTGGACATAAGGGTTGTGTACATGATCATTTTAAAAATCCTTTTGGTGCTTAATTTTGAATCCACCAAGGTTGCTACTCTGTATTGATAAGAAATAAAATAGATTGTTTTGCCAGCTAATCTGATCACTAGAATTATTCTCATGGTCCTGTGGAATAAATGCGGAATGAAGATAGATGTTACATTAGGCACGATTCGCATGTATTTCCAACTCTTTCAATCCAAAACTAGAGGATATAGACGTGTCATTAAGAAGTGCAGAACGCTAATGCTATTTTGCTTTACCATTTCTCTTGTATGTTTTGAAGGTAGTCCCTTCCTATCACTTCATAATCATAGAATCAATAATTGCAAAATATAAAAGAAAAATAAAATTATGAAGCCTACCCCATTTGTGTCCAATAGAAGTTTAGCTTCCAAATTACAGATATTAAGGTAGATTGGGGTTTCTCGCCCTACCCACACTAGGCCTTAGTCAGCATTTCTGACCTTCCATTTTACGTGACAATGCAGATTCCCAGTAGGTACTCAGAAAGGTCCAAAATCTACTTCAAAACAAGTCTGGATATAGGTTATATATAGGAATGCAATAAATTAGAGTTGAGATTCTTTTTGCAAACTAATGGGAGTTAATAGGCATTGTGCATGTTTCTTAATATGTGCACAGTTTGCATTTTTGGTTTACATATTATCAGTTGCCCTTCATGAATCAGAGAGCATTAAAGTCACTTTATTTTATCACTGAACTTGAACTGGGCAAAGATCCATTTGGACAAAACCAGTTCATTAGAGTGGTTTGGTTTGATTCGGTTTGATTTAAAAAGAAAAAAGGGAACCGTGCATAGCCATATATAGAGTTTGGCACATAACACTTATTGACACTCATAATAATACTATCCTGCAGGTGGTTGCTAACTGTAGAGCTCTTGCTCAGCGGTTAATTGAGCATGGATATAAACTGGTTTCTGGTGGTAGTGACAATCACCTGGTTCTTGTTGATCTAAGGCCTTCTGTAAGCTTCTTGTTCCTTTCTTTTATGTGTGTCACAAAATATACTTCGTTCCCTACTTCTGCTCGTTCATCCATTATAGATTGACATGTTTCAACGCAAAAGGGCATGATATGCAAGTTGATATATGATCATTTTTTAACGTTAGCTATGTTTCATATTAATTAACATGTTCGATAGGGTCTTGATGGTGCTCGGGTGGAGAAAATTCTTGATATGGCTTCTATAACCCTCAACAAAAATTCAGTGCCTGGTGAGATCTTATTGCTGTGTTGTTTCTTGCGTGCACCAGTTTGGCATCTATGCTTGTTCACCGTGATATTTATGACCCGTTATTTCTGACATGTGCTTACTATAAAAAGGTGATAAGAGTGCCCTTGTTCCGGGAGGCATTCGCATTGGGGCACCTGCCATGACAACAAGAGGACTTGGTGAGAAAGAATTCGCACTAATTGCAGATTTAATTCATGAGGGAGTGCAAATAAGTCTTGAAGCCAAAAGTTTGGTCTCAGGAACGAAGCTCCAAGAGTTTTTGAAGTTTGTATCATCTTCTGAATTTCCCTTGGGGGGAAAGGTCTCAGAATTGCGCAGAAAAGTTGAAGCTCTTACTATTCAGTATCCGATACCCGGAGTCTGAGTGTACCTGCTTAATGAGCACTTAAAACTGAGACACTCTTAAAAAATTTTGTATAATAAACATGCTTCGATATGATGCTAAGAATATGTTGTATGTTACTATGGAGTTTCAGCATCTACCTTATAGGGTTTGATCATTGACGATGGCTTTCTTTAGAAGATAACACCATCATAAAGTATTTTGGGACGTGGCAATTTGAGAAAGTTGTAGAAAACTTTGGGTCCAATCATGTAAAACAATCTATCTGTGGTATAAGTATGGCTGCTTAATAAACAGATCTTAGCTTATAAATTAGTTTAAGCCTTATAAAATGGTTTGTTTTGAAAATAATTTATCTACTTTATTTATATTTTAGTTTGTAATTTTTTTAGTTTTTATTATTTATATTTTAATATATTCTTATTATTTTTAATTTTTTTTTACTTATTATTATCTATAATTTTACACATCAAAACTAAAAAATAAAATCAACTAAATAATAGTTTAAATTGAAAAATAAAATAATTCAAATTTGTGAAAAATAAAACTTAAATTTAGTTAATATTTAATAAATCAATTAGAAATAAAAATATTTATCTAAATAAAAAAAACATATGAAGCTTTTAGAAAGAAAATAAAAGTTCCAAAAAAATAATTATTTTTAAAATGTTAAAAGTTATAGTTGCATAATAATGTTTTTTTTTTCTAAAAGCACATGCTTATGTAATTTTATATTTTCAAGTTTATAAATTTATTACCTTTGAGTTTATCGACTACTAATTAACTAAAATATAAATCAACTAACTTATAAGTTATTTTTTGTCGCACGTATGTCAAGAGTCTTCAGAGAATTAATTCAATGTAACACATTTATATGTCATTCTTATTTTTTAAAAATGATTTTACAGAATTTAAATAAAGATATTAAATTATGTTGATATACTTAAAAGAGTATAATAATATAACATAATAATAACAAAGACACAAGTACTATTTACTGGTATAATCGTTAAATTTCGAATGAGTCCATTTGTTATATTACAAGGATAATCTATTCATTTTATGAATAATTTTGTTAGTAAGGAATGTTTCACGTAAAATAGCTGCTAAATAATTAAAACAAGCTGGTTAGTAAGGTTTCTCATAACACTCAATTAAGAGGAGTGTTGATACAATATTCTTCCTCATACAAACTCTTTTATTAATTAAAATTTATTAAAAGCTTCAAAATTATAAGTGAGATTCTTTAAAAAAGAGTAAAACCCATGTAATTTTGTGAATTCTAATAAACTTCAACAAATAATATATATATATATAGCATAAGTGTGACAGAAAAAATGAGTTATTACTGGTAGTATTATTTTCCTCTTGAAAAGAATTGGTACCGCACTTTCGAAAAGTATGGTACTTCTATTTCACTTTTCAACCGGTAATAAGCGACATCGATTACCAATACGGGGCTTGAAGCCCAAGAGTTGTGAGTGGCTCGGCCCAAACCAGCCCAGCCCACCAGTCTCTCTCTCTCTCTCTCTCTCTCTCTCTCTCTTGTTGTTTTCATTAAAAATAACCTATAATCAGTGATTCGAAACCGAATACACGCATCTATTTGCATCTCTTAGCACAAAGAACACAGAAGGAAAGAAAGGGAAAAAGTGTGAACTTAAAAATGGTTGTGGAAGATTCACAAAAATCAACTATCACCGATGACCAAAACCCTAGCAGGGTCGACAACGACGACGACGATCTCGAAGATGGGGAGATCCTCGAAGATGCCGACGACGCCGCCTCGGCTGCCTCCAAGCCTCCGTCCGCACTCCTCCGCAACCCCCACCCTCTCGAGAATTCCTGGACCTTCTGGTTCGACAGCGCTTCCGCCAAGTCCAAACAAGCCGCATGGGGCAGTTCCATCCGACCCATATACACCTTCGCCACCGTCGAAGAGTTTTGGAGGTCAAGCTTTGATCTTTTCCCTTCCCCTCCCTCTGGGTCTTAACCTAATTGTTTCTTTCTTGATTCTTGCAAAAGCTAACCCTTTGTTTTTTTTACATGAAAATTGTTCAGCATTTACAATAACATTCACCACCCGAGCAAGTTGGGTGTGGGGGCGGACTTTCACTGCTTCAAGTATAAGATTGAGCCCAAATGGGAGGACCCTATCTGCGCCAATGGTGGAAAATGGACCATGACTTTCCAAAGGAACAAATCTGATACCAGTTGGTTGTATACGGTATTGTTTTACATTAGCCTCTGTTTTTTATAACAAAATGCTCATTTGTTTGTGGAGTATAACTTGTGAATTTAATTAGCATGTGTTACTGTTGTAACGAATCGTCATGTACGGCTAGTCATTTTTTGTAATAGCTAGTCTAAAACTCGTAATTGAAATTATTTTCTTATTTTTTGATACCGGAGAATGTTTTGTAGGGATAGGGCTTGGATTTTATATTCTATTAGTGAATTGGATGATACAGAAATGAACCAATCTTAACGGATGTTTGAGTGAAAAAAAATTGCATTGAGTAGTGTATGTAAAATAAATTATTTATTTGTGACCTAACTAATAGTGCTTTTGTTTTCTCTGTTCCTGCTGCCTCTAGTTGTTGGCAATGATTGGAGAACAGTTTGATCACGGAGATGAAATTTGTGGAGCTGTCGTGAATGTCAGAAATAGGCAGGATAAAATTTCTATTTGGACTAAGAATGCTTCAAATGAAGCTGCTCAGGTGACTTTTTTTTACCTATTTATTTTGCTTTGTTTGTCTTTCCCTTTATTGTCTATGGTTCTGCAAGTTGGGAGGGAGATTTGGCTAATCTTAATTAAACCCTCATGTTATGTCAGAATTATTGAGGAATGTGTATTAGACATACCTCATCTAATTTACTCTTGAATTCTCCAAGATGACTTTCTGTGATTACACTGAATAACAGCAACGTTAGAAAACTACATGTTATATTTGTTCTCATTACGAGTGAGTGTCTTTGGTGACTGTCTAAACCCTGCTTTACTTATGTTCGTTCTCATTAGGAGTGAGGATCTTTAGTGACTGTCTAAACCTTAAATCTTCTCTCGAATTGTTGTGGTAACTTGAGGAGTATCAAACATTTTTCTTCTTGCAGATGAGCATTGGAAAGCAGTGGAAGGAGTTTCTTGATTACAATGAGACAATAGGCTTTATATTTCATGTGAGTGGAAAGCTATCTATGTTTATCTAATTCCAAATTAGGTTAATCTGTTTCGTATTTTGGGTTTTTATTTGTGTTGCCCTGTGATCTCCAGGAGGATGCAATGAAGCATGAGAGGAGTGCTAAAAATAAATACGTGATATGAAGTGTATAGCGTATTAAAAGGTGGGTGGCAAATGAAGGATGCGGTACATTTCTTGCATGAAGAGTTGGCATTTAGATGCTCAGTCTTTCCTCCTGCCTGTAGCTGAGCTGAATTCTAAGCCCTTTTGGTCTCTTATATCTTTGTAGTACTTTCCTATTTGTTGTGCTCGGAGAATATTTCCTACTGAAGATGTTTCATCATCAATAATATAGTGATTAGGGTATAAATGTACTACCATTAGTTAGAAAATGGAACCAAACTTGCATCCTTGGATTGATATGAAGATTCTCCTTCAAATACCGGAAAGTGCATATTGTGTTGATGGAAAACTTAACGTGTCAAATCTTAAAATATAACACGTTTATGATCGAAAAATATAACACTTTTTGGTACATCTATCTAATTCGTTGTGGTTGCATTATCAGAAGTTATACTGAGGGGAGCAGTAGTAGATGAGGAAAATGCTTAAGGCGTTACATGTTTTTCTTTTTTTACACTGATAAAAGTTTAACAATAATTACAACTAAGACATTTAGTAATATTATAAGATTATAATATTAAAATAAACGAAAAAATGGCAATAAAAGAAATTTTGTAAGCAATTCCAAGGTGCACTTTAATTAACTAAAAAACAGCAGCTAAAACCGCGGTGCAGAAGTGTAAATGCAAGATTTCTAAGATTCAAATACTAACTTGAAATGATTAAATTTAAAAAATTAGTTGATTGATTTGAAATAGTAAATTAACATAATCTTAGAATAATGACTACAATACATCTCTTAAATTTTCTAAAAGCTTCCGGTAATACACTTAATCTTGTGTTCAAAATACCTTATAGAAAATATTGCATTCATATGAACGTTTGCAAGTTATACGTGTTTCGATGTGAAGCTTTGATATGCTTCAATTAAATAATTGTAGCACACAGAACTTTTAAGAGTAATCCAAATAATTTTCAATAAACTAAAAATTAACTATTTTCATAAATTTATTGGTCTAAATAATTATATCTTTTTCAAAATTTAACTCGTGAAAAAACTATTCAACCAGGTAATTTTTCTTTCGTATAACTTAATATAGAATAGCTTTCACAAATTAACATACCAAGAAATTTAAACAACTATAACTTACAAAGAACTAAAATAATTTTCACAGAAAGAGTTATAAAAATTTATCCACACTCATACTTGATTTAATACATTGCAAAAAAATTATACAATAATAATATCTACGAAGTAATATTATAGTTTAACAGATTGAGTTCGGCATATTACACTCACATTTTCTCCTAAAAATTTACCCTTAACGGTCCCTGGTCTAATATAAAAAATTTACTCCAAGGCAGGAGAAAAAAAATTGACCTTGTATTTTCCTATCACTCATAAAAATAAAAAACAAAACAATTAATACATACCGGTATAGTACACACGTAAACAAAACTTTTTAACAAATCAGGAGTATCGTTTTTTGGGATATTAATCTAAATATTTACATTTAAGAGAGACACGTATAAAAAGGCCTTCTACGTATGTTCAAATGAATGATTTAAGATTGTAAACAAAATTGCTAGCGTGCAGTTCACCTAGATAGGAGGGGTAATAAGGCAGTTATACTCAAAAAGGCTTGATTTGACACAGTAAGTGCATTTACAATAATGGTCTATTCCCTGTCTAATATAAACACTTAGAGTTGGTAGAAAGTATTAAACTGCATCAGTTAAAAATTTCCCCTTCTTCTCTGGCTCCGTTCAGAAACTCCTCATCTTCTACGATATACTCTTCCTTCATAAATAAACCAAGCCGCTCCAATGGATTCTCAAACTGAGGTTTATCCCATGTGTCCAATGCAACTTTGTAGCCATTTCTGCCGCCCATCGCCTTATAAGATAGCGTGCATCCACTCAAACTTTCCAGTTCTCTTATGATCTCCATATTATGTTCTATATCAACAGTTCTTCTCATCTACAAAACACATCAAATTAAATACTCAATTACATGATCACGGAAAATTTAACTTCCAACCAATTATAAATAATGAATAAAACCTTCTCTATTGCAACTCGTGCAGCTTCTCTTTCCTTTTCTCTTCGCCGCCTTGACTCTTCCTCAGCCCTCGTTCTTGCAGCAGCCTCAGCAGTTTTAATTTGAGCTTCGATTCTAGCTCTTTCTGTTAAGCATGCAACATACAATGAATAAGATGAGCAAATGGTTGCTTTCAGAATACAGATGACAAATATATACATATAAATTACAGAAAGCACATTTTTATACAGAAAAGGTACACGGAATAAATGGAACATGGACATAGGATTTCACAATAGAGCCTTCAAAGTTCAAAACAGTACAGATGCTTCTACCAAAAAGTTTCTATGTCCAAAGAAATATAAATAATATACCACACTCACCTTCACGCTGAATCCTTTCCAATCTCTCCTTTTCCAGCTGCATCTTTTTAGGATTACCTTTATCACCCTAATAAACAAAATAACAAAAATTAGAAAACCCAACGACATTCAAAAGTATCCTTTACTGAGGAAAGAGGAGAAAGTTCAGCTATCAAGATAATAACAAGCCTTACATGCTCAAGAAGGGTCTTTTGCTGAGCTTTCAAAATGGTATCTGCAAAGCGGCTTTTAAGCATAGCTGCACGAAGAGCCTTTTTAGGAGACAGCTGGACAGGCAAGATAGACGTGCTCCAAACTAAAGCAACAAAAAGACATTAGCATCATATCAATTCAAATAAAAAGGTAGCAGCAGCTAACTTGATAGGAAGCGAGGTGCTGACCTTCCCCAGAAGAGGCATCAGTGGTAAAAGGTACATGCTTAGAACTAGGACAAATATGTTCACTGTCCAAGGAACTAACAGCCCCTATGTAAAATATCAAAATCAACAATATGAAATCCGCATGCATGGAAAACATACAAGATAACTAACTATTAGAAGTCATAAATGATTCTCACCATCAGAATCCGATTTCTTCTCCATGGGTGAGGAACCCTTAGTCAGGCAATCCTGGAAGTAGACAAAAGGTTTCTCTAAGATTTGCATGTAAAAAAAGATTTCTCAAACCTATTTTGACTAATATATGGACAATAATATTTTTAGTACCTGTCTCAACGTATCAGCACCAGACGCAGTTAGGTCCCTTCCTTCTGATCCTTCAGATGATATATCTAAATCAGTAAAAAGATACAAGTCAATAAGGAAACAAGTGGCGAATCAGATAAGCAGCCAGTAGATTGTCTAACTACCTGATGACACTTGTGTTGAGTTGCTTTGAATTACACAATGACAGTTGGTATCACCACAAGTGCTACACTTGCATGTGACAGGGCGCGCAGTAGAACATGCCTTTAGCGAGCCAGCAGACTGTTCTCTAGCACGGTTACCTTTTCTGCCTATAGAATGCACAGTTATTAGCTCCTTTCCAGAGCCAAAAACCTTCACAGTACTCTTAAAGCATCATACCTTTGTGCAAGTCTTTCTCCATAAACTTGCAAGGAATATGTGATAATTTAGGTGCCTCCACCTACAAGTTAAACATTTCCAATATAACACATTGAAAAAGTAACACCAGAGAAACAAAAGAAACATGAGACATACAAATGTACCACAGAAAAATATTGCATCGCTGAATATTACACTTACACTAGCATCTTTGGAGGTCGGTGATATACTCTTGTGAATTCCTTTCTTTTCAGATACATGTGTCTTTTTAGGCCAGGAATCCTTATTTCGGGAATGCATTGTGTCAAGATTTCTTCCACTAGTTTCCTTCACTGTTTCAGTCTCGCTTCTACTGCGTTCATCTTCACACTTCAATTTCCTAACCAGTTCTTTCCATTTTCGGTCAAATATTCTACGTAGATCCTTTGCCATCAAATGAACATCATTACCGGGAGGATTGTATGTCATTGCATTTGAGAAAGTCAGCCTGACATCATCTGCAAACTCCTCAGTGCCCGAATAACCGTTCGTCTCCAACTTAGCTTTAATTGTTCCAAAATCCATTGGACTTTTTATGATGTTAAAATAATCTGGAATATTCAAAGCCACAGGGTCTACTGGCTTGCTAAACACCCAACCATATGGATGAGTCATTAAACTCTTCAGTATTGTAGAACACTGAACTGACCCTTTTCGATCAACCCTCTGTCTTTTCACCTTTTGGCCTTCATTACTATCTGGTTGTCCCCTCTTCTGGGAATTCAGCCCAGAGGATTTTCCATTCGAATTAAAACGCCTTCTTTCATCAGTGTGAGACACTTCCCGTCCAAACTCACGTTTAGCCCCAAAATCAACGTCCATCCTTTTGGTTGAGAACTTGATCTTCAATTTAGCACTAGGTGCTATAATTTCAGTGGTAATCATGCTGATGGAATAAAAGCTGAAAATTCTAACTTCTGAGACAAAGGTGCGGCGTCCTTCAAGAAGGCAATGCTCCAAATTGAAAAGACAAATCACCTGGATACCAAGATAACTAAATTAAAAAGTGGAAATCGTAGAGGAAATATAGTATATAGCGTATTGTCCAAAAATTAATAAATTACAAAATACAAATAGACCATGCACTGCAGGTTGTTGAAGGCGAAAATCGTTCGCGGTAATCAAACAATTTCCCCGACCCAAAATTTAAAAGAATTGGATCGACACTATTATAATTCACGAAAAAAACTAAAAGAAAAAACGAAGACATTAATTCCGACGAGAATAACAACAACCCACTCCATTCACGTCGAATAAAATTAAAAACAAAATAGAAGCACCCTATAAGATTCTTCAAATCGACAAAGCGAACCAAAACTCCACTGAATAAACAAGAAAGCGCGGAATTGCACCGAGTTTTGGACTAAATCCAAATTATGGTTGGAAACAAACGTACCTGAATTGCATGAGAGAGAAAAAGAGAGTGGGCTGGGAAGCCCCTCTCGCAGATCGACGGGAGGAGGGAGATGAGTCGCGCTGCCAAAACCACAGTGTGCGATGAGTGTGTGTAGCAGTATGGTTTCTAGGGTTTTTGGTAATCGACGAGTCGCCTTGACTTTTTATTTTCCCTTTTATTTATTTATAGATACGGCTCTTGTTTTACCTCGCGGGCTTTAGTCCGCCTTTTTTTTCTTTTCCTATTTACTATTATTATTTCAATTACTATTGTGATGTGATTCTTGAGCAACGAAATATCTATCAAGAATATTTATTTTATAATACAGGAAATATCTAATACCTTTTTATCTTTAACACAATATCAGATATTTATTTAAATTTTAAACCGCAAGCGTGGAGTGATGTCAATAATA